TAATTGCCGCGTTCTTGTTTACGCCTCGGCTGCTGTACAGTTGGCGATTCTCGCCAATGTCGTCCATTCCCAGCGTGTACTCGCGTCCGCCTGCGTTCAAACGCGGTCGGTGGTCACATAGGCTTGTGGTCACCATCGCTTCCCTTCCGTTTGGGTGTCCGTAGAAATGGTATCTTTCGGTTTTAAAAACGTTTCTAATTATGACCTTTTTTACAATTGTGAGATGTTCAGTCATTATAAATCACATCTGTTAATTTATTAATGCTGCCTATAATGTATACAGCATATTCCCCATCTGTTGTAATATTTAATGAGAACTGTGTGACTTCTTCCTCAGACCGTATGCAAAAACGTACTTTTCCTTAAACAGAATGCACACAGCGCGCAGCTTGTAAAACTTGACTTCAAGTGTAGCAGCCACAGGCCTGCCATGTCACGCGTTCAGTTATGAATAAATTAGCAGCTGCGTTCGTCCCGCTCGGGACGGAATCCTAAGTGTCCATCAGTGCGGGAATTGTCATAAGGGCCCCAGAACGAGCTTCATGTGAGTCAGCTTCAGGACGCTGATTGGCCTGACAAGTCTGGAGTGCGTGTGTACGTCCCAAATGCGCGAGAGCAAAGGTTGCGCGTCGCATGCGCACAGGTCTGCCATCTCATACGTTCAGGTATGAATGGATTAGCAGCCTTATTAACACGTAACATGCTCGTAGCTGGCTCAAATTTGAACTGGCGAATCCCCCACGTGACATGCGATGTGGGTATTCTGGATCATCTTGAAGTTTGCGACATTGTTCGAAACAGCCTACTGCTGTGTCCAGAGTATCCGGATAACCTATTTTCATGAAAAAGCGCATTCCACAATTTCACTTAGCGGTAACTGCCTTGTACTGGGTAATGGACGTGACTGTGAGTCCCTACGAAGAGCCACACAGTAGATGCGTTGAACTAATACAGGATCAGCACAGGGCATGGTAGGCGATGCTGCGACTACGCACACATAACAAATGTCCTAGATGGGTCGGGGCTAGTGTGGCATGTCTAGGCGCCAGTTACTGCAATGATACCATCCTGCATCCGTTGTCGCTTCCTGTCTTCTCGACTGCGTCTTGAAACCGGATTCAG